TCGGCAAGAGCTATCTCCATGATCTTTCACAAACGTTTTTAAAAAGATTGAAACTATTATGAGGTGAAATTTCTTTTCAAATTGCGCTTGTTGTGTCTACAGACGACGGCCGAACATCAAGATTGTGCAGTTTTTACCGCAATTCTAACCACAAAAACGTCACCCCAAAATATCTCTTTAACGCTCCTAGATATGGCTCAAAACTTCACGAACATTGAGGCGGCTATTGGACGAAAAAGCTCCCGTGATAGATTTTGGAAGAACTGTTCCCAGTGCCGGGAAATACGGCTGCAAGTAAAATAGGTAATAGCGTCATTTTGTTGCTATGACAACTACGATGTCATTGCAACCCTGATCATAACAATTTTCATCTTTATCTATTAAATACGGCTTTGGTGGTAATTTTTTTAAATATTTCTTAATGGCAAGGTATCTTATGCTCAAACTCGGGGGTATTGACCCTGAAAACCCTATCGAGCCACCTTTTAGCCTTTAGCCTACAACGACAGATTTTAAAAAAAAAACTAAAAAACTTAGAAGGCTTAAAATAAATAAATCAGTTCGGATTACACGCGGTACTACTTCGGTACAAAGTCCAAAGGTATAAGTACAATGGTCTACAATTTAGCGATCAGTATGAAATAATTCAACGAAGATCAGAGTGATTTGTAGTACTATATAGTTGTCGATCTATTGCACAAAACATCGATGTATGCAACTGGGATAACATGTCCACAATCGATATTTTGCCCGTAAAAAGCCTCCATACAATAACAGATAATATGCTCGAGCAAGAAGACCTGGCATTTACAAGATCTCATAGAGTGTTATATCTGTAAGACCATTATTTTACAAAAACAGTCGAAACATTTAGAACAAACGACAACTTTATCCCTGCTGCAGGTTAAGAAGGAATCTAGGTTTGTTCTAGAGGGGTTCCTTCACCAGAACTTGTTTGAGTTTCGTAGTCTTAATTGCTGTGAAGAGTAGTCAATCGTTTCACTGCCGCTACCTGTTCGATGGTCACTTTCTCGAAAAAAACTAAACACTAATACGCATGCATTATGTCCTCATATCTTGAGCACAAAAACGTCTCTAAGGGCTCTCTGAGCCTCTTATAAAATAACTAAGCAGAAAGTTTCCGTGAACCACGAGTAAAGACTTCTTGTCAATATTTAAGCAAGGGTCATAAGCTGGTGACTGAGGTCAGTATACCCGATATCAACTAAAGAAGAGAAGTCTCTTCGAACACCTGAAAAAAATTTCTCTAGTGTGCCCTTGTGATTACAGTTTCTTTCGGAACTACAGTCGAACCTCTCTAATACGGACACCAAAGGGAGAGAGCGAAGTGTCCGTATTATTATATTTACACGGTGGATCATGCAATACTAATATCTCGACTCTCGAACCGTTTTGGGGTGAAGGGAACTGCATTGGCCTGGTTTAAGTCCTACTTAACCTCCCGCCAACAGTTTGTTAAGGGAGAAGAGGGCATGTCATCAAAGCGACTGTTGTTGCGTGGGGTGCCTCAGGGGTCTGTACTGGGCCCACTGCCGTACCTTGTCTATACTGCGCCGATTGCTGATATCATCAAAAAGCATGACTTACTATACTATCTGTACGCTGATGACACGCAACTATATATTTCCTTCAATACTTATTGTTTTGCTGATCTTGATGAGGCAAAGTTGCATATTGAGCGCTGTGTTGTAGAAATAGACCTTCGGATGTGTAAAAACCTGTCGAAAGTCAGTAATCAGAGACAAAACTGAACTTGTCATTCAGACCAAATCTTGAATCTGTTCGAGTTGGAGATGAGTTCATTGCTCCTAAGTTGTCTGTACGTAACCTATGAGTGAGTCATCATGGACAATTGCTTTTGCATGGAACAACATGTAAAAAAGATATGTAGTGAGGCAAATTATCATCGAAGGAATATATCAAAGATTCGCAAACATCTCACCCAGGACTCAAAATTCTCAACCATGGTTTTATTAGCTCTAAGCTTGACTACTGTAACTCACGTCTATATTGTACTCCAAAATACTTAGTTTGTAGATATAGAATACAGCGTGTTCAGAATACGGCATCTCGCATTGTCACGTTAACAAGGAAGTATGATTCGATTACCCCAATAACGTTCAAGCTACACTGGCTCCCCGTACATTCACGTATTATTTTGAAGCTCCTGTTATTAGTCTATAAAGCACGTCCATGGCAAAGCACCCTCTTATATTTCTAGTCTCCTGAGCCATCGTAGGTGCTTTCTGTCTTTACGCTCCAGTGCGCAAGAACTGCTCATCGTGCCACTGGCTAAACTAAAGAGTTATGGAGATCGGGGGTTAAGCATTGCTGCGCCAAGGCAATGGAATAACTTGTCTCTTAGCATTGGTAAATCTCCATCGATCCCTATTTTTAAAAGACATTTATTAAAGACTTAAAAACAGGCATGCCTAAAACAGGCAAAATGGCGATTTTTACAAGGGGAGCCCGGATCTCCCAGGGAATTTAATATATTGACCTGATATTCTGCCACATAAGTTAACTCCTGATGCCTAACATTTGTGCCGAGTTTGAGCGAATCAGTGATTTGAGCATTATCACCCCCTGCCTGGTTCTGCTGGGTTTACTCGTGGACACACTCTTAAGCCAGTACAAAGACTCTGTCTTTCAGTAGCATACAACATTGTACATCTCAGCTAGTAAAGACAAAGTACTGTTTTAAAACGAAAGCTACAGCGCAATGCTGCATACAAAACGTTGTAACGTAAAGCACAATTCTGAAAGCGTCTTTCGCTATTTTGCAAGTGCAGTAAACACTAACAAGAGTTTAAAATGTAATAGAAAAGATCTTAATGCTATCTGTAGTTATCGAAGCGTTCAAAAAGCCGGTTATGTTCCTTTGTACACCGTTCGAAAATCATTGTTTGGTATATAGCGACTGGGCTTTAAATCACCTTGCATAGCTCATTAGCCAGACTAGACGGGAATTACCCTGTGCAGATTCACCTGATCGGGATTCACCTGATCACCGTAGTGTCAGTAATAAAGAGGTTAAGTTTAAGTGAATTTACTCTCTGGGGCCGAGATTTACTGTCCGTTGTCCGTATTAGAGAGAGTCCGTCTTATAGACGTTTTTTTTAAAAGAAAATATGGGAGAATTTTGTCGGGACATTGGAAACTGTCCGTAATATAGAAAGGTGTCGGTACCGAGAGGTTCGACTGTATAATTAGATGAAACTTATTGTGCAATTTTCCTTGATGCGTTTTACCGTAACTCAAACCGGAAGAAAAATGAATAAAATATACAAGCAGAGTAAAAAGACTAAATGATAATAAATGTAATAATAATAATAATAATAATAATAAACGCATTTTTAATACCCTACTACTCTACTGCGCTTTACAGTAAGTTTAAAAGGCTAAAAATGAATAAAAATTTACAAACAGGTAGAAGATGTAAAAAATAATGATAATAAAATAAATATACAATAAAATAAACGAAATAAATACTCTACTACTAATTTTAATTTTTTTTTAAAAAAAAAACTTGTTTAAAAAACTAGACATTATGGCAGACATAATGTAATTTATGGCAAGGCGTGATACTCACATGATAACTCGCTACGTCACGCTGTACCAGGTACTGCAAATCTAGCCAGTGAGGTTATAGGGCGGTGTCAGGGTTAAGTAAGTATATTGAGGTATTTTCCCAGTAATTCTTCCTTCTCTCCCTCGTCATCAACTCGGTCAGATCTCGAGCAAAATCTTTCCTTCCTTCTCCCCTATCACCTGCCTGCAGGTTATTATTGTTCACGGTATTTCCTATTTCTTCTTTTTTTTTCATTTTCTTATTTAGTTGTGTAGTTTGTGGCGGATTTTTGTCGCGCCATTTCTTATTCAGTAGGTTAATCGGTTCACATATGTCGATGTGTTGTGATTCTGTCAGGGGCACCCAACGAGAATATAGTTCAAAACCACTTAAACATAGCATTGTTGAACGTATTTTAGTATTTAAACGGTAGATATGGGCATATTTTTATCCCCTAAAAGTTTTTCATCTGTTCGGATTTCCTAGCTGAACGTCTAGTGATCCGGAAATTATAGGGGTCAAAACTTACCTTTTCGAAAATTTCAGCCAGAAAAAAGGCTCCCGAAAATTCTAGGTGACCTTTTCAGGGTAAAAATCCGTTAATAATGGGCAATTATACCATTTTTTAGATCTTCGAAAATCCTAGGAGAGGCAGGCAAGCAAGAAATTTTACAACAAATGTTCCGAAAATTCTAGATCTCAAATCGTCTTCCGAACAGATATTTTCCGAAAATTGACGTTGGGTGCCCCTGATTCTGTTGGTTTTGATTTCATTGAACCTGCCACAACCGTGGAAATGGAAGCAGAGCTCGCGCAGAGTTAAGCCTTGTTTTTAACACATGCCTTGATATAAAAATATGTTTTAAAACTGGCATTTAAAATTTGAAAGAGAGTCAACGCTGGATATTTTACTGGGAAGAATGTTCCAGGGCTTCGGGGCCGCCCCTACCATAGGACCCTCAAGCATAATTTTTTGCTGAATCTAAGGGAATATCTGGTCGATGTTGTCCGGCTGATCAATTTGCAGATATAGTCAGGGGCCATGCCGTGAATAGCTTTGGAGTAATAAGAAAAAATTTAAACGCCCAGCGGTACTTAATGGGCAGCCAGTGAAGCTGAGATAAGACTGGCATTGTAGGATTATATGGCAAAACTTAGGTTGCTTGAGAATAAGTCTTGCAACTGCATTTTGTGTCTGCTATGTACTAACTTTTTGTATTTTTTAAGCATAACGTAATGGCTAGCTTGTTTTAAATAACCATTTTCCTTTCTCTCTTTCTTTCATTTAGCCGAATTACCTAAAACATGCAGTGAAATAAAACACAACAACGCAGAAGCCCCAAGTGGAAATTACGTTATCGATCCCGATGGAGTTGGCGGCTACAAGCCTTTTGCTGTTTACTGCGACATGACAGACAAGAATGAAATTGGCGTAACAGTTGTCGGTCACGACAGTGAAGTCAGAACTCTGGTTAATGGCTATGAAGCACAAGGAAGCTACGTACGTGATGTCCATTATGAAGGGACAGGGCTAACTAGCAATCCACAATTGTTTGGCCTTCTGAATGTGTCTGCACATTGTGAGCAATTTATCAAGTATGAATGCTATCACGCAGCTCTCCTGTATAATGGAAATCCAGATAGCTGGTGGGTCTCGCGTGACTTCAAGAAAATGGCCTACTGGGGTGGAGCCAGCCCAGCGGACTCCTACAAGTGCGCATGCGGGGTGACCAAGCCCAATTCATGTGCAGACAGCAGCTTTGGATGCAACTGTGATAAAAATGATCACGTCTGGCGAGAGGACAGCGGTCTTCTGACTGAAAAGCGTGACCTTCCAGTTTTACAGTTAAGATTTGGAGATACAGGATCTGGTTCTGAGAAAGGTTATCATACCCTTGGAAAACTCAAGTGTTACGGTATAGCTTCTGTACCTTGAATTTTAGACCAAACAACACAAGTAAACGTAATAATAATAATAATAACAATAACGAACTTTATTAAAGTGTCTTGTCTTACAGCTCAGACAGGCACAGTGCCTTACTAATTGAGGAGACTGTATCATATACATAAGACTTTAGTAATATATTGTAAATTATAATTATAATTTAATATACGTGTTTGTTGTCAGTTGACTTTGCGCGCAGGTTTGAGATCCGTCTAGACTCATCGCCAGATATTTCCTAATACCTATACACGAGGTTGAGATCTGTTCTTATGCGGAGCTTCAGATGCTTACAGTCTTCTTTACCTAGCAGGTGTTAGCTAATTTTAAAACAAAATGTTAGTAATTTTACTTTCCATCTATGAACGTAGAGACTTCAGTTGTCTGAGAAATGGTCTTGACTGTCATTATTACATTGGAATTGTAAATACGTTAGCTGAAGCGTTTCATTAATGATAATAATGGCGATATTAATAAGTAATGGTATCAGAACTAAGTGGAGTACAATCCAAGCACTGTCGAGCGAGTAATTCAAGTGTCATTGTCTGAGAAAGTGTTCCAGGGGCTAAAAGATTGGCTGAAACTTGGCACAGAAGTTGGATGTAATGAGATATTTCAAAAGCCACTTTGGATCACTTCTCTGACTTTTAGTTTTGGAGTTACAGGGGGGGTCTCATTTTTTGCACTTTGAGCACCAAAAATCCAGCCTTCCAGGGGGCATTTTGAAAGTGCCATAAGACCCCACTGGTAAATTGTGCACCGTTCGAAAATCATTGTTTGGTATACAGCGACTAGGGTTTAAATGACCTTGCATAGCTCATCAGCCAGACTAGACGGGATTCACCATGTGCAGATTCACCTGTTCAAGATTCACCTGATTACCGTAGTGTTCGTAATAAAGAGGCTATTAAGTTTACATGAATTTACTCCCTGGGGCCGAGATTTACTGTCCGTTGTCCGTATTAGAGAGAGTCCGTATAATAGAGGTTTTTTTTTTTAAAGAAAATATAGGAGAATTTTTTCGGGACATTGGAAACTGTCCGTAATATAGAGAGGTGTCGGTACCGTGAAGTTCGACTGTATCATTAATTGCAACTTATTGTGCAATTTTCCTTGGTGCGTTTTACAGTAAGCGAAACAGAAGACAAAAGAATAAAATGTACAAGCAGAGTGAAAAGACTGAATGATAATAAATGTAATATAAATAATAACAATAATAATAATAAACGTATTATTAATACCCTACTACTCTTCTGCGCTTTACAGTAAGTTTAAAAAACTAATTATAAAAATGAGTAAAAATTTACAAACAGGTAAAAGATCTAAAAAATAATGATAATAAAATAAATATTCAATGAAATAAACAAAATAATTACTCTACTACGAATTTTAATTATTTACAAAAACTTGTTTAAAAAGATGAGTTTTAACACTCAGGCATTTAAAATTTGAAAGGGAGTCAACGCTGGATATGTTACTGGGAAGAATGTTCCAGAGCTTCGGGGCCGCCCCTAGCATAGGAACATCAAGCGTAATGTTTTGCTGGATCTAAGGGAATATCTGGTCGATGTTGTCAGGCTGATCAATTTTCAGATATAATTAGCGGCCATGCCGTGAATAGCTTTTGAAATAATAAGGAAAAAATTAAACTCCCAGCGGTACTTAATGGGCAGCCAGCGAAGCTGAGATAAGAATGGCATTATAGGGTTATATGGCAAAACTTAAGTTGCTTGAGAATAAGTCTTGCAACCGCATTTTGTGTCTGCTATGTACTAACTTTTTATATTATTTTTTACGCATAACGTAATGTCTAGCTTGTTTTAAATAATTATTTTCCTTTCTCTTTTTCTTTCATTTAGCCGAATTACCTAAAACATGCAGTGAAATAAAACACAACAACGCAAAAGCCCCAAGTGGCAATTACGTTATCGATCCCGATGGAGTTGGCGGCTACAAGTATTTTGCTGTTTACTGCGACATGACAGACAAGAATGAAATTGGCGTAACAGTTGTCGGTCACGACAGTGAAGTCAGAACTCTGGTTAATGGCTATGAAGCACAAGGAAGCTACGTACGTGTTGTCCATTATGAAGGGACAGGGCTAACTAGCAATCCACAATTGTTTGGCCTTCTGAATGTGTCTGCACATTATGAGCAATTTATCAAGTATGAATGCTATCACGCAGCTCTCCTGTATAATGGAAATCCAGATAGCTGGTGGGTCTCGCGTGACTTCAAGAAAATGACCTACTGGGGTGGAGCCAGCCCAGCGGCCTCCTACAAGTGCGCATGCGGGGTGACCAAGCCCAATTCATGTGCAGATAGCAGCTTTGGATGCAACTGTGATAAAAATGATCACGTCTGGCGAGAGGACAGCGGTCTTCTGACTGAAAAGCGTGACCTCCCAGTTTTACAGTTAAGATTTGGAGATACAGGATCTGGTTCTGAGAAAGGTTATCATACCCTTGGAAAACTCAAGTGTTACGGTATAGCTTCTGTACCTTGAATTTTAGACCAAACAACACAAGTAAACGTAATAATAATAATAATAATAATAACAATAACGAACTTTATTAAAGTGTCATGTCTTATAGCTCAGACAGGCACAGTGCCTTCCTAATTGAGGAGACTGTATCATATACATAAAACTTTAGTAATATATTGTAAATTATAATTGTAATTTAATGTACGTGTTTGTTGTCAGTTGACTTTGCGCGCAGGTTTGAGATCCGTCTAGACTCATCGCCAGATATTTCCTAATACCTATACACGAGGTTGAGATCTGTTCTTATGCGGAGCTTCAGATGCTCACAGTCTTCTTTACCTAGCAGAATTTAGCTAATTTTAAAACAAAATGTTAGTAATTTTACTTTCCATCTATGAACGTAGAGACTTCAGTTGTCTGAGAAATGGTCTTGACTGTCATTATTACATTGGAATTATAAATACGTTAGCTGAAGCGTTTCATTAATGATAATAATGGCGATATTAATAAGTAATGGTATCAGAACTAAGTGGAGTACAATCCAAGCACTATCGAGCGAGTAATTCAAGTGTCATTGTCTGAGAAAGTGTTCCAGGGGCTAAAAGATTGGCTGAAACTTGGCACAGAAGTTGGATGTAATGAGATATTTCAAAAGCCACTTTGGATCACTTCTCTGACTTTTAGTTTTGGAGTTACAGGGGGGGTCTCATTTTTTGCACTTTGAGCACCAAAAATCCAGCCTTCCAGGGGGCATTTTGAAAGTGCCATAAGACCCCACTGGTAAATTGTGCACCGTTCGAAAATCATTGTTTGGTATACAGCGACTAGGGTTTAAATGACCTTGCATAGCTCATCAGCCAGACTAGACGGGATTCACCATGTGCAGATTCACCTGTTCAAGATTCACCTGATTACCGTAGTGTTCGTAATAAAGAGGCTATTAAGTTTATATGAATTTACTCCCTGGGGCCGAGATTTACTGTCCGTTGTCCGTATTAGAGAGAGTCCGTATTACAGAGGTTTTTTTTTAAAAGAAAATATAGGAGAATTTTTTCGGGACATTGGAAACTGTCCGTAATATAGAGAGGTGTCGGTACCGAGAAGTTAGGCTGTATAATTAATTGCAACTTATTGTCCAATTTTCCTTAGTGCGTTTTACAGTAAGCCAAACAGAAGACAAAAGAATAAAATGTACAAGCAGAGTGAAAAGACTGAATGATAATAAATGTAATATAAACAATAACAATAATAATAATAATAATAATAAACGTATTATTAATACCCTACTACTCTTCTGCGCTTTACAGTAAGTTTAAAAGACTAATTATAAAAATGAATAAAAATTTACAAACAGGTAAAAGATCTAAAAAATAATGATAATAAAATAAATATTCAATGAAATAAACAAAATAATTACTCTACTACGAATTTTAATTATTTACAAAAACTTGTTTAAAAAGATAAGTTTTAACACTCAGGCATTTAAAATTTGAAAGGGAGTCAACGCTGGATATGTTACTGGGAAGAATGTTCCAGAGCTTCGGGGCCGCCCCTAGCATAGGAACATCAAGCGTAATGTTTTGCTGGATCTAAGGGAATATCTGGTCGATGTTGTCAGGCTGATCAATTTTCAGATATAATTAGCGGCCATGCCGTGAATAGCTTTTGAAATAATAAGGAAAAAATTAAACTCCAAGCGGTACTTAATGGGCAGCCAGCGAAGCTGAGATAAGAATGGCATTATAGGGTTATATGGCAAAACTTAAGTTGCTTGAGAATAAGTCTTGCAACTGCATTTTGTGTCTGCTATGTACTAACTTTTTATATTATTTTTTACGCATAACGTAATGTCTAGCTTGTTTTAAATAATTATTTTCCTTTCTCTTTTTCTTTCATTTAGCCGAATTACCTAAAACATGCAGTGAAATATAAAACACAACAACGCAAAAGCCCCAAGTGGCAATTATGTTCTCGATCCCGATGGAGTTGGCGGCTACAAGTATTTTGCTGTTTACTGCGACATGACAGACAAGAATGAAATTGGCGTAACAGTTGTCGGTCACGACAGTGAAGTCAGAACTCTGGTTAATGGCTATGAAGCACAAGGAAGCTACGTACGTGATGTCCATTATGAAGGGACAGGGCTAACTAGCAATCCACAATCGTTTGGCCTTCTGAATGTGTCTGCACATTGTGAGCAATTTATCAAGTATGAATGCTATCACGCAGCTCTCCTGTATAATGGAAATCCAGATAGCTGGTGGGTCTCGCGTGACTTCAAGAAAATGACCTACTGGGGTGGAGCCAGCCCAGCGGACTCCTACAAGTGCGCATGCGGGGTGACCAAGCCCAATTCAGGTGCAGACAGCAGCTTTGGATGCAACTGTGATAAAAATGATCACGTCTGGCGAGAGGACAGCGGTCTTCTGACTGAAAAGCGTGACCTCCCAGTTTTACAGTTAAGATTTGGAGATACAGGATCTGGTTCTGAGAAAGGTTATCATACCCTTGGAAAACTCAAGTGTTAGGGTATAGCTTCTGTACCTTGAATTTTAGACCAAACAACACAAGTAAACGTAATAATAATAATAATAATAATAATAATAATAATAATAATAATAAACTATATTAAAGTCTCATGTCTTATAGCTCAGGCACAGTGCCTTACTAATTAGGGAGACTGTGTCATATACATAAAACTCTAGTAATATATTGTAAATTCCAGTTGTAATTTAATATACGTGTTTGTTGTCAGTTGACTTTGCACGCAGATTTGAGCGGGTTTGAGATCCGTCTAGTTTTATCGCCAGATATTTCCTGATACCTGGACACGAGGTTGAGATCTGTTCTTATGCGGAGTTATAGGTGCTCACAGTCTTCTTTACGTAGCAGGTTTTATCTAATCTTAAAACAAAATGTAATGTAATTACATTAAATATAATTAGTAATTTTACTTTCCATCTATGAACGTAGAGACTTCAGTTGCCTGAGAAATGGTCTTGACTGTCATTATTACATTGGAATTGTAAATACGTTAGCTGAAGCGATATTAATAAGTAATTGTATCAGAACTAGGTGGAGTAAAAAGGGACTATCGGGCGAGTAATTCAAGTGTCATTGTCTGACAAAGTGTTTAACGGGCCAAAAGTTGTGGTCAACCGATTTGGCTGAAACTTGGCACAGAAGTTGGATGTGATGAGATATTTCAAAAGCCACTTTGGATCACTTCCCTGACTTTTAGTTTTGGAGTTACGGGGGGTCTCATTTTTTGCCCTTTGAACACCAAAAATCCAGCCTTCCAGGGGGCATTTTGAAAGTGCCATAAGACCCCACTGGTAAATTGTGCTGCCCAATGAATTTGACCATGAACTGTACTATAAAAGAGATTTCAGTTTATGCATAAAACTTTGTCCTCAAGGTATTGCACAGAGAGGAGCCTGGGGCTAGAGTTTGGCCAAATTGATGTTAAAATTACAACCCAAAATAGCCATTTTTCAAAAGTTCAGTATATTCACCTGGCTCCTTGCATAACTGACTTCCATAACTATACCACTGTTTACTTTAGTCACCCAATTATCAAAATCAGTTGAGAAAACTTTGGCTTATTATTACTTCACGCCCTTCTAAGGCGATGCAAAATGGAATTTTGAGCCTAATTCAAGTCATAAACAAACCAAATTGTGGACAAGAAGCCCTTTTTGTGTATTTGGTAAGTGAAAATGAATTGTCAAGCCAAATCAGTTTCGTTGTTAAGAAATAAACCGACTCTCACCTTAAAATTGATCTAAAACGGCCGGGCCTCTTATTAGCACAACGACGCACATGATTTAGCAATAAAAGGGTGATTTTTTCCTTTAAAAACCTAGTAACCATCACAGAACACAAATGATGATGTTCTGACGTAGATATAACGATCTTTTTACAAGATGCTTAAATTTTTCTTTGATTTATATTCAGTTTCATGTCATATTTTTAAGCATTACTCCAAGCATGGAAAGTCTCCACATTTTGTCAGGCCCATTTTTTATATTTTACCAGATAACGTTAGCTTAACAAAACGTTCGTTAACATATAATCTTCGTCTGACCTTGATATAGCCTGAATAGTATTTTAGATAGCCGTCATCAAAGGAGCATGACCATACATACATAGGTTATGCAAACAAATACGAGCTTCAGTGAGCAGTATCATCAGTATAGAGGTGACCTCTGATTTTCCGAGTCCTTGAGAGCTGAAAAAATGAAACCATCCATCCACAGTTTGGAGAGCTGGATAACAAAAAGCTTTTGTTGCTTTTTTAAACATAATAACCCAAACAAAGCCTTGCATTGAGATGAAACAATTGTTGTTATATCAAACAAGAACGATCCTACAGCGGCATTCAGTGTCGCTTGCTTGGAGATTAGATCCAGAAATGAGGAGCCGATTAATCCTACACGAAACAGCATTCACTCGCTGAAGGTTTTTTTTACTTCCTACTTTATCGACGTCGATACTTCGACACTTTTTATTTTTTTCCGAACTGATTTTGTACGCGTGGTAGCGACGTCCGGGAATACGTCTGCGGTCGTAGGCTATACGAGTGTATAAATACACGAAAATTCAAGGGCCTCGATTCCAGAGAAATTACATCATTGTCAGAGATCAAAAAAGTAATTTACTTGGCACGTCATTTCAATCATCGCCGAAAATAAACGGCATGCTCATCACAAGAGCCATTTGCATATGAAAGTTTATACAACACCCGACCACCGCAGTTTAATCTGGCTAATAATTTTGGTAACTATTTTGTACAGAAGATTGAACGTATGAATGACTCACTGGACGCCCTTTAGTCATCTGAGCTTCTTGACAGTGATGGCGACGCGTCCGCAGATAACATGGGCGCATACGCAAACGGTGTTGATCCTGATCCGTGCGAATGTGCAGAGTTCCCAAACTTCAAGACCAAGTTTCTTTGATTATTGGAAAGGCAGCCATGAATCTTGTCCTTTAGATCCTGCACCTACATCTGTGGTTCTACGGGTTCTTGATGTGCTGTACGTTACCAGTAATCACCTGTATGATCAACATGTCGTCAAGAAGTGTGGTCTAGACATCGCCAACAAAAACTTTCGCCCAGTAAGTAATCTCCCGTATGTCTCCAAGTTATCTAAAAGAGCAGCTGCTGATCAACTGATTGATCAACGGTCTGCACCTTGAGCTACAGTCGGCCTACGAGAAACATCATAGTCCTGAATCAGCGCTTTTAAAAGTGAAGAACGATGTCTTATTGACTATGGATGCGCAGAAGGTGACCTTGCTGGTTCTTTTAGATCTCAGCGCAGCTTTCGATACTGTACGGCACGACATCTTGCTGGATCGGTTAAGGTCAAGCCTTGGTGTGACTGAGAAGGGATTCAACTGGTTTAAATCGAACCTCTCCGACCGTGCACAGTGTGTTGCAGTTAATGGAGGGCTGTCAGATACCTTTCCGCTTGCGCAAGGGGTGCCGCAAGGGTCGTGCCTTGGCCCGCTTTTGTTCACAGTATATACCAGCGAACTATTCGATACAGTGGGAGGACGCTTGCCAAGCGTGCACTCTTACGCCGATGACACGCAATTGAACTTGGCTTTCAGTCCAAACGTCAAGGTGATGACGCTAGTGCGGTAAAGGCTATGTGTGATTGCATCATCGATTTAAGAAAGTGGATGATTAGAGACCGACTTATGTTAAATGATGATAAGACTGAGTTTTTGCTCCTTGGTACCAGGCAACAGCTAGCTAAGGTTGACATAAATAGTATTACTGTTGGTGAGTCTGTTGTGAACACAAAGCCGGTTGTCAAGAATCTAGGTTCCTGGTTTGATTCTCAACTTAGTATGTCTACTCATATTAGCAAGCTCTGTAGCTCAGCTTTCTTTCATCTACATAACATCAGCCGTATTCGCAAGTTCTTAAGCCGCGAGGAAACTAAGACCTTCTTAGTACATGCATTAGTTACTTCTCGCGTTGACTACTTCAATAGCCTTTTGTATAGTCTACCTGCCTCTCAGCTTAACAAGGTTCAGCGTGTTTTAAACACTGCAGCAAAGCTTGTTTGCTGCGCTCAGCGCTTCAGCCATATTACACCGGCCACTGATGTATGAGCTACATTGACTTCCATTAAAGCAGCGCATTCATTTAAGATTTTGTTATTTGCATTCAAGGCTATCCATGGTATAGCCCCTCCATACATTCAGAACTTAGGTTCTCTGAAATCGCAAGGCGCATATAACCTCAGATCGTCAGGTGGAATTTTGCTAGCATCGTCAACATTTAGAACTAAGGTCACACTAGGCGATAGGTCCTTCCAGGTGGCTTCGGCCAAGTTATGGAATGCTCTATCGCGTGAGCTTCGCGATATTCCTAACTTGCATACTTTAAAGAGCAATCTCAGGAAAAGACGTACCTTTTAAAGTTTAGTTATGGTTGAATAAATTTAAATTGTTACATATCGATATTTTAGATTTTTATGGTGGAAGTGTATATATTCGTATTGTTTCTCTTATTGTAAATAAGTTTGTAGCTTTTTTTTTCATGCTTTTATTACTAATATAATGCGCATTTATTATTTTTATATTATTTTGCTAATTAAGATTCTTATGTTTTTTCGACCACTCAGTAGTGTTCACTTCTTACAAAGTAGTCAACGCTTTCAAGCGATAGAATTCGTGGACCGACACGTTTCAGAAAAGCTCTAAATTTAATCTTCCCTAAGCTTTCTTCTCATATAACTTGCGTGGCTTTGGTCGCGCAACGATTCTTACTCCCAGTTTCCACGGTCTCCCCTAGGAACGCCTGGCACAATGATTCCCTTTTGTGTTCAAAATACGAAGAAAAACGCGTTGCAGATTATGTGTCTCGCTGCTTACGCAAGCGAGACTAATTAACTGGCCCGCTATTTTGGACT